GAAACACATTTTTACTGGCACAGGTTGCCCAGGGAGGTTATGGAGTCTCCATCCTTGGAGATACTCAAAAGCCATGTGGACATGGTCCTGCGCAACCTGGTCTGGGTGTCCGAGCTTGAGCAGGGAGGATTGAACCAGAGGTCCTTCCATCCTCAACCAATCTGTGATTCTGTGAATGTTTGCTGGACTTCATTAATGTTTGTTAAGAATACATAGTCCAGAACAGTCAGCAATGGGTATGTTAGATGAGACCTGTGCTATTAGTTCCCACATGAGATTGGTGAGATGCAATGTCACGCTACCATCCTTAGTCCCTCCATACCTAAGAGGTGAATGACCTAGGGGAATGAATTGCTATGACCATATGCTAAATTTATGGCTTACTGATATCTGAAAAGTTGTGCTGTGTCACACATACTTACTGTGTACGTAACATCTGGCTCACAACATGGGCCGGGGAGGTTTCTGTTTACCAGGCTCTGGGGGTGTTCTGCAGCCTTTCTGGTCTCTGCTCTGCTGTAGCTATACTGCCGTCAGTACTTGAGCCAGTAGTTTAAAGCAAGCCTGAAGCTGTAGCCAAATCATTGAATTTAATGTATCCTCTTGCAGAGAATGTTACATATAAATGCTTTCCAGGTTTATTTTCTTCTTTGCAGATATAAAAGCTCAAAGATCATCAGTGAAAAGACTGTGTGACTCTGATATTTCTAAGGTCATAAAATGCATGGAACATGCCCTGATAGCAAAGTACCCCAGGACACGATACGCAGCTGGATGGGATGCAAAGTTCTTTTGGCTGTTTCTCTCCTATGCCCCAAGCTATTTATCTGACATGGTGCTGTGTATGACGTTTCCAGCTCCAGCAGCTAGTGGGAGATCAGTTCCTGGAGTTCTAATTAACATTTAGTATTAAACCAGTATCAGCTCTGTGGAAAAAAATATTAATCCTGTCAAAACCAGATGTCCTCCTCTTTACCGGTTACTAGACTGCTTAAATTCCTTTCAGAAGACACATTCTCCATCTCCCACCTCCCATCCCTCCTTACCTGGAATTTCTGAGTTTTCAGACAGGCTTGTAAATTCAGCATGTTTTTGAAGGTAATTTTTTATGCTCAAAAATGATACCTCTATAGGATCTGCATTCATAAAATATTCAGCTACAAAGCTGGTTAATACTACTCACTAAAAATTTTTAAATAAGAAAAAAAAATCACTAAAAGAATCAGTTTTTCAAGTAGACTTCATCAACATATAGGCTGCTAGTGAACTTGAAATAAAATAATAGCCTTTCAGAACGTGTATCTTATACACGTACATTACAGAATGTATTTAGTCAGAATTAGTCATCTGTTTCATGAGGGGTTTGCTCATGGTCATATTCAGGAGTTGCTAAACTTCACAAGCTACTGAACACAAGACATGAAATCAAATAATAACAAAGCCCAGCTCTTGGAACATATTCCAAAAATTACAATTGCAGTATTTGACCACATCTAATCACCTGAGTATTCCACTGTGCAGAGATAAAACAGAAGCTATTTTACAGATATGCAATTACAGGGAATATCAAAAGTACATTGTACTCTGTTATTATGCAAATAGGGTATCCACACTTATATTTTGACTTTCTTCCTAATATTAGTATAGTTTATGTGGAAAATATTAAAAATAATATGCATTCACATTTCTTTCATCCTCAGTGTGCTTTGCAAGTTAAAAGGATGATCATTTCACTCATTAGTTGAAACAGGTCATTAGTGTATGCTATGGCAAATTATTTTGACTGTACAAGTGTGTTCAGAATGGCAAAATGTTAGTTGAGGTTACTGTGCCTCTTGTACGCTATTTCTATCTGTTAAGCTGCTGGCCAGAGGCTCACAAACTGGTGTTCCTAGAGATATTAAAATTGAAAGGGGTAAAGGTTTTATTTGCTAAAGAGCTGCCCTGGTGATTAATCATTAATGTGCAATTCAATTAAGCTTACAAAAAGACCATGTGCAGGTCAGAACTCCAAATGTAAGAAAAGGAGTTTCATCACTCTGTGAGTGTGAGAGGGGGCGTGTGTATGGTTGTACATACACGCAAGAAAGGGACAGAATGTAAAAAGTGTTTAGTAACCTTTAAGTATTTCATTGAGGTTCCATTCTCTGGCAAATGGTGTCAAGAATAAATTTATTTTACTTCATTTCATGACAAATACCTGCAGAGAGATAGTTCTATTGAGCCTGACAGCTGTAAAGAGAATGGGCATGAAAAAGCTTCATGGTGTAATTTATTAGTCTTAGAGTGGCAGATTACAGAGAGGTGCTGAAATCTCTAAAAATCGCCCACCTTTGAAACTGAATGAATCCAGAATTTGAGAATCCAAGCAGGGACTGTACCCATAAGGGAAAAAGAATACAAGTGAAAAATCAAAGTTAGGAATAGAATCTAAAGCTTCTGTTCAACAAAGTACCAAAAATTACACTTTACATAATCGGAAGGGTACATTGTGGTATGCTACTGAGAGGAAGAAGCCCAGTTGAAGCTTAGGAATCCTTCACCATCAGGTATGTTGAACAATCAAATCTACATACCACCTATCTGTACAGTATCCCAGGGATGGTTTTCTTCCACATCTGAAAAGTTAAAATTCTTATAGGGGAAAAACAGGTCTCTCTGATGCATGACCAACATATTAGCAGTTTTCTCCAAAACAGATTACAAATCTTTCTGTTGACAAAGACTATTCACAACACTGATGCTACTTTTTCCTGTGCTAAATTGCAGCCCTGCCTTCTCTATTTAAAACAAAACCATTTTCAACTCTTTCCTTAAGAACACCCACCTGCCTTTCAAAGAAATCCTTTCTCATAGCCTTACAGATGTGTATGCTGTGTCCCAGATTCTAAGGAATTTTCTACATTAAAGCACTCAGATATGGAAGTTAATTGAACTAAGGTTTTAATCGCTCATGTCCATACTACTTTGACAGTCAGTCTCTTACAATCAATTATAAGAGTTTCCTGTTTCAAGGACCAGTTTATTTAATGTGTGTAAGGGGCCAGTTTTCACACTTGCAGTGATATGATGTCAGTGATGTAATATCAAGAACTTTAGACAGTTGTGTGAAGCAGTAAGCACTATTCTTATTTATCTAAAGCACTGTTGTTTTCATCTCAGAGTGCGCTAAGTCTCCACAACTGAAAAAAGTACATAGAGCCTTGACACAAATTATGGAATAAGGATGTGATAAAATACATTTATTAGATTTATTCAGCAGCATCATTTTCCAGTTGTCTTTTCTAATCAAAGTACATTACAAAGTAATTATAAGCATTCTAATTAGAAATAGTATGTATTTTGAGAACTCAGATATAAAACAATCAAATAGCAGAGGCCTCAATGATTATAACTTTAGGAATCTTTCAATTATATGAGTAGCTAGCCAGGAATGCTGAATAACATGTTCCTGCAGTGGTACTCAGAGTTTCCTCAAATGGTTCATGTTGGGGAAACTACCTTAGCTAATTAACAGAAAATCTAATAAGATTTACAGTATATTATGATGGAAAGTTATAGAAATAACCAGATAACTACAAAGACTGCATTAGTAGAAATTGTTTCCCTTTCTATTAATGTCCACCTCAGGAAATAAATAGTCAATAAAATTAAATTTTCACATTAAAAAACCTGAATAATTTCTTAAATGAACCAATATCTTTCATGTTTTGCTGTTTGGAAATAAGCTGCTATGGAAATCTACCTACTTCATTTAATAGTACAAATTACTTCCAGAGATTGCAGCCAAGAACAGAGCTATTCCATTGATGAGCAGGAGAAAATCTCATTAAATTAAGTACTCATGGCACTAAAATCTAAATATATCAGATCTTTTTAAGAAGACTATTAATGGAACAGTGTTAATTGAACCTAGAGGAAAAGTATGTGTCTTATGGATTGAGAGGAAATTATTTCATCTCAGCAGTTAAAATATTGTAAGAACAACATTTTGCACAGGTTCATTATTCAGCATAATGATGCTGCATTGACTCTTCCATCTTTTGTTTAACACAAGATAAACAGACACACCCATTTTTACATACACTAGTATATAAAATAGGTGGTAAAGATGCCCAGAGCACCAGTAGAAGTTTTAAAAGGTGCTGTTATAAATATATACTCTAACGATCCTGTAAATCAGTAATGTTCCTACATTTGCCTTGCTTGGTTCTTTTTTAGTTTAAGCATTTATATAATGAATTTATCCCTAAAGATATGACCAATTCCATACAGATTTCTACTAGCAACATCACCGAACAAGATAATCTTTCACAAATTTACAAATGTACAATATATTTATAACATTACTTTCAGACAGCTTCAGTGCAAAGATATACATATAGTACATCATGATAATTGTTCATAAAAATAGAAATTGGCGTTTGTCAAAAAACAAGGCATAGTTTCAACATACATCTCTAGCCATTGTCTAAGAGATGTATATATATTTTTATAAAGCATTTGAATGTGAACCTTACTCTTCTGTTTATAAAAAATATATGTGCAAATGGATGTGTCTAATTTTCCCTAAATCAGTTACCTAGTTATACCACAGAGTCCTCTTTAACAAGATTGGCGGTGTCTTTAAATGTATCCTCTGTTGCTGTATAAGCTAATGCTTGGTCTCTCCTTAGAGTAATCTTGGGAGGCAGTGAAGGAGAAGAAGTAGGGACATTTTCTGTGTCCTGTTGCTGTTCCTTTTCCATCTGAAACAATAATCATAAAAACTGAGTTTACATTCTAATCTACAAAACACGCAGCCTTAACTTTCAGAAATGTACAATAAATATCCAAGTACTTTGCTAAAGTCAAGTGTCATGGTATAAGTTATTTCTGCAAGTCACTGCCTGTAACAAAATTAAATGCTAATTTCACCTCAGAGGGTACAGCTGAGTAAATACACTACTACAAACTTACTCCACACACTGGGACTTCTATTTTAACACTTAATGTCAGCAGTAGCTTGATATGTCTATATGCACGTACCTGAATGCAGATAACATTGGCACTACTGCTGTTTGTAAATAGTTACATTCATTAGTGTCAGGGAAACGAATGCCTGGCTTCCTGACCTTCCTCTCTCACATTGTTCAAGCATTATAAACATAAATTCTTCACAAAAGGCAGCTAGGTTTAGTCACATGACTGTGAAACTGAGGTTCTTAAGTCACTTAGGCCATCTGCAAATTTTAAACTGTAAGATGAAAAGGGCTGGAATTGCTGTCTCAAGTCAGTAGAACTCCAAACCTTCATATCCAAGCCAGGGGAGAATTCCTCCAGCTCGCATACCACCCTCTGGCACACCACCTTAAAAGAACTGTCTCATCCGACTGTATGGATGAAAAAAATAGGGTTGGTATAGAAACAAGACTGCAGTACGCAGAACTATTGAATTTTTGTGCAGTGCTGAAGCCAGGACTGAGAGGGCAGAAATAGACACTTCACTCCCAGTGCAGCACAATAGACTGCCACTTGCGCTGGGTGCCTGAGCTGTACCAGAATGCACCAGCAAGCTGAAACCAGCACCTGAGATCCTGGAGCAGGAGCCGGCGACAGTGCTTGGGCTGGGAAAGCAGAGATGTGGGCAATGCAGCTGTGCTGCCTGAGCTGGATGCCTGTTGAACACCTTATTCTGCACATGACTGCGTAACTTTTCTCAAAACCACTTCAGTCCCACCTTGACCTGGGCTGGAATTGCTGTGCTGCTTCACTTAGCAGCAGAATCTACCCATAATCTTTATCCTATGAAAGCAAGAACAAAGTCCACCAGTACATTAGCTGAAAAATAGAATTATACAATATTAAGCAATACCTCCGCATATATCGGGTTTTCAAAATTAGTGTTTTGTTTCATTTTTCTCTTGA